GAAAAATGGAATATGATAATGGAAATCAACGAACGAACAGCAATAACCCAAACAAAAAAATTCACTTCGAAATGCAGAAATTCGTTTCTCTGTCAATCGATTATCCTTGGAAAATAGCTATAGTCTGTTAAAGATTTTTCACTTGACATATTTTGTATTAGTATAGTGAGGCTAAAGAAGACATGCGAGTTCCACATTTGAGTTCCAAAAGGGCTGTGCTAACAAGTTTTGTTTTTTGTACATTTTCTATCTATACTAAATTTTTGTTCGTGTTTATCATCTTTGCTGATAATGATCGTCCATGATAAAGGTCGAAATTTTCAGATTTATTGTAAAATTAAAAACTTTATATTGCATTTTTCTTTCTTTTATTTAAAAAAAAACCCTAAAAGAAAAGAATTTTATAACTTTAATAGACATTTTCATTATTGATAACAATAAATCTGAGGTTGGAATACATTAATATATCATTTTGTGCACAAGAAAATTTTTGACAAAATAAAGCTTGTTTGCATATACAAATCTAATTTAAAGAAATAAATTTCATAATATAAAAAATATTCAACAAATTGATGAGTTCTGTTTTTCTAAGCTGATAGATGTCACTGACATGTATATATTTTTTTTGTTTCACAGTTCGTTAGTAACATTTTAATCTTCAAACTATTTTTCATTACTAAAAACAATCATTGATTTTCTTCTTCACAAAAAAACAACTATTCTTCGTCATTGGGGTTTAATAATAGAATTTCATTGGTTGATCAGAAAAACAAATTAGCACTAAATTAATTGAAGTGATGATGACGGCCGTATGGAAGAAAGTTCTATTGAGTTTTTTTTTATTCTTTGATTCATTTTTTTTTCTCTTCTGTTAAAAGCTATTTGTCTAACGTGTAGGCGTCCGATGGCAACAATCGAATTCCATTGCCAAAAAGAAAAAATGTTCAATTTTCTATATTCATTGTTAATTCACAACTTGGCCTATTTAAATATTTCATTGTGATATTTCATTGATTATAAAAAAAATAAAATAAATCAAAAATAAATAAAAATGACATTTGATATAAAAACAAAAACAAATTTATTTTAGACCTATTTCTTTCGTCGTCGTTAAGATTAATGGATGATAGTAATAATAATATATTTGATGTTCTCGAATCGGTTTGTGTAAAAAATTTTTTTAAATATCAATCTATTTACGAATATATATAGCCATCATCAACAAAAACATTAAAAATAACTTCAACATCAACAAATGTATTATCTATACGTCGTTCTCATCGTCCATTGATAAATACCAACAATGGATCTTATTCATCTGCCAATCCTACAACAGATATATCCTCATCATCAAATGGATCTCAACGAAAAAAACGAAAAGTAAAATAATAATATTCAACAAAATTTAAATTAAATCTATGTTTTACAATTTAGGATCGAGCTCTTCAAGATCTTGGATTTGTAAATCCAGGTCCAAAAAATTTAGTTAATGTTGCTAATGTACCATCGAGACGTTTAAAAACTCGACAATCATCTGCACAAGAAAAACCAAGGTAAGTAAAAACAAAAATAAAAAAGCAATTTTATAACGATCATTTCTCTTTTTTTTTTCAAAATGATTCATTTTATTAATATAAATATTTGATATTAACAAAATAGGTAATATTTCATTCATGAATAATTTATATCAAAAGTTATCAAACGATAACGGACAAATATTTTTATAAAAAGCTAAGAATTTTACCTTGAGTATAGACGAATGAGATAAACAATCGTTTACGAACTTCTATGATAACGAATATTATTATAAGTTTATAGACATACAAATTTTTTTTTCGGCGATTTACATTTTTAAACAATAATACGTCATTCTACTTTTGAAATATTTAAAATGACGATCTCCACCTACGACTACTGTGTATTTGATAAAAGAAATATGATAGTAAAGAAGAGATATAAGATCTTCTATTCATATTTTATCATGAATCATATAACATTGATATAAAATATCTGTTGTATGAACTAGTTACTACTAAAACAAATTTGAAATATAACTCTTCGTAAGTATTTACGTAGTTTATCAATATTTATAGATTCTACATTTTTTATTCATTGACAAACATTTAGTATTCTTACAAAAAAAAACGATCATAGAAAAAATTTTCGTTTATTTCATATGGCTATAAGATGTTTGTTGTTCAGTGAGTAGAAATGTAAGCGGTGATAGTTTAAAAATTGATTTGTTTTTTTTTTTTTAATTCGAAAAATTTTTAATTGTAAAAAATAATGATATAAAAATAATCGAAGACATTCACAAAAACTAACTTTAACTATTATTTTTCGAATTATGGTGATGATTTTATTCTATTGATTAATAAAATAAATATTATTCTCTCGTTAGATAATATATTTTCATAAGATCTATGTTCTAAGTAAAATTAGAATTCGACTAGAGATAAATTTATACAATTTCATGCTTTACCAAAGGGTAGAGTGGAATGGAAAACAAGAGAAAATTGCGATCGTATCGATAAACGTTATTAATATAGATGTATGCATTAAAATCCAATTAAAAAAAAAATATATAAATCGGATTTAACAACCGGTCGCGCATGCAATAATAAAGGGGAAGTACTCTACAAAATCACGTTTATGTAAAAGAACGGAAATTTTGTTTTTCTGTTTTCGACAAAATGTCATGCAAAAAACAAGATGGTTAAACAAATATGTATCGAAAGATTAAAATATTTTGCCTTGTAAATTATTTAATGAAATGAAAACATGTTTTTGAATAAAAAAACAAAAAAATAATTCTAGTCAGATTTTAATTGTGTGAATTTATCTCTAGTCGAATTCTAATTTTGTTTACAATATCTATTTTGTTTCAAGGATAATTTTCTAAAATGAATAAGAGGATAGATTAGAAATACTCGATTCTTAATTATAAAAACTTCTATAGAATACTTTGTGTCATGAGTAGAGCTTACCGAATTCAAAATTTTCGGATCCAACCATACTTTGACACATTTAACAAAACTTTTTAATCGGAATTGGATAGCCGTCCCGAAGGTATGAGATACTTTTTTCCGATTTTTTGTATTCAGTGAGATGAACCCGATGAGCTCTACTCGTGAGGAACGTCTCTCAACTGATAAATCGCGTTTTAGATCGACACTATGTGTATCATGTAGATCCAAATGAATTTTTAATATATTGGAAAGAGTTCGAATTTTTAGTTTGTTGTTACGTAAATACAGTAAATATACGGTAGGTTTTAAGTGAATACTATAGTTCCTCTCAAGGAAACTGATTTTACTGGACACCTTATTCAGAGGTAAATTTTGATGAGATTGATTTATTGTGAAACTTTTAGGTCTTTTGATTTGCGTCTATTGTGAAATATGAAAATCAAATCTACCGTTATAATGGTTGATAGAAAAGTAATTAGACAAAGTATTCATTTAGTTTTCTACCTTTTTAAATAGCTTGTAGAAATTTGAAAACATTGAGTTAAATTCAGAATTTTGTGCTCTTTCCGACTATGGGTTCAATATTATTGTAGGACTTCTGATTTAACAGTTACAAGTCAATCTTTTATAGGCGCGAAAACTAAGTTTGAACGAAGAAAATTGACGTTTATTGCTGCTATTGTCTTCTTTACTGCATACGCTATATTATTGATTTCTTTGCATAGAATTAAAGACAAAATTATTCCCTACTAAACATATAAGAATCAAGAGTTTTACAACAATGATTCAGAAATGACTGAGCTCATTTTGCAAGCCTGTTTTCCATAGAAATCAAGAAGATTATCGAAGTTGACACCAGGGATGGGCGAGTCCGAGTCACTTTTTTTTAATGACTCAGACTCGACTCTGACTCGAAAATTTTGGAAAGTTGACTCGAGTCAATAGTTCAAAAAGTTTGATTTACTCACAGAAAAGTTTACATTATGTCAAATTAAGTTCTTAAAATCGCAACTTTCTTGTCCATAGAATGCATTCAACCAAAAACAGTTTTCAAGAGCAGCCTTCAGCCTATATGTTTAGACATCGAATGTCACAGCTTAACTGTACTATCGAATCCCTTTATAAAAAGAAATGATTTATGTGTGGAGTTGACCTTACTTTTGTTACTTTTCTAATTAAAATAGATTTGTGCTATGGTTTTATTTTCTATGTGACTTTTCATACTTCTGTTTTAGTTCCTAAGAGCTTGTAACTGGATAGTGCGTAATGAAAATCTTTTGTTGATCTTCGTAAAAATAAACTAAGACAAATAATATCGAAAAAAAAAGACTCGCCTCGACTTGACTTGACTCGAAATATTTTTTAAATGACTCGGACTCGACTCGACTCGAGAAAAGGCTTGACTCGCCCATCCCTGGTTGACACGATGCCCGTTATCAAAACATTTGCTATTAACAAATAATTCAGAGCTAATTACTCAGTACTATAGTATTTTATTGAGAAATGTTTGTTCTTTTATTTCGTTTTATTTTTTTTTGAATTCTAGTTCAAGTAAACCATTATATGATAAATCAGGTCTTCTTCTTTCCGATGAAGCAGATCGATGTGATTGTAATCGTTTAACATGTCCTGGATGTTTCTTACCTTGTACATCTTGTCATTCATCAAAATGTGGTCTCGAATGTCGTATGTATATAAATATATTTGAAAAAAAATATATTAATATTCATTTTAAATTTTCAATATTAGGTAATCTTCGAACTTATACATATGAATATCGTTTATTTGGTACAAATAAAGAAATAATTCAATAATTATAATTCATCGAACAAACTGTTTTGAAAGAGACAAAAAAAAAAAAAATCAAAAAAAGAATATTTGTTATATTTTCTTGTTTGTATATAACATTTATTATTCTGACATATGTTGTGTTTTCTGACTTATCAGAAACATTTCTAAATTGAATTTCTTTAACTCATAATGAGTTAATTTCTATTTCTAGAGTAAAAAAAACGAAGAAAAGAAAAGCATATGTTAGGACAAAAATTACAACGTAAAAAGAAAATAACAACTAGTAAAACTACTAATGTTGCATTAGAAAGTAGTTTAACATCAATGGATTGGTTACCAAAAATGCAAATAGGAGAAAATCCATTACCATCATCGACAACATCTATTAAAGAATCATTATTAAATCCATCATCATCATCATCATTAAATCCATCATCATCATCACCATTAAATCCATCATCATCATCATCATCATCATCACTTCCGATAACTTTATCAACAAAAAATATTCAACAAAAACTAGAACAAAATGATATTGAATTACCAACATCAACTAATCATTTGAAACCGCCATATAGTTATGTAACATTAATTCGACAAGCTATATTAAGTGATAATATGCAAAGAATGACATTAAATGAAATTTATCAATGGATTGTTGATTCATATCCATATTTTCGTACAGCACCACCAAAATGGAAGGTTTGATTTGAATATATATATATATATTTTGTTTTTTATTTTGAAATGATAATTTATTTTTTTCTTCGTTTTTGAAGAATTCAATTCGACATAATTTATCATTGAACAAATGTTTTAAAAGACTTCAAAGAAATACAAATGATCCAGGCAAAGTAACGAAAACCAAAAAAGTTTTATCGATTTTGTTTTTCGTTTTTTTTTTTTTGTGATATATATTAGGGTTCTTATTGGGCAATTGATGAATCAAATGAAATTAATCATCAATCGAATTCTCGTAAACGACGAGTATGAGGAAAAGAAAAATTCTTTTAATATTAATTTAATTAATTTTAATAAGTTTGATACACAACAATCTCTTCCGATATTATCTTCATCACCAATTAATATAAATCAAAAATCAACAGTTTCTCCGACAAATAATAATCCAATAATATTTGGTGATAGTAGTAATATTGGTGGACAATCATTATCAACGGATGAATCAGATTCGACTATGTCACTTGCAGTAAATGTAAGAAAAAATACAATTTTATCAAAATTGAAAAATTATTTTATATATTTTGTATATAGTCTACATTAATACATTGGGATGACTTGAACCTTGATTTAACTGCTTCATCTCATCGAGTTTGTGAGCAAATTCTCGATGGTCCATCTACGACATGGACCACAAATTCTGGTACGTAAAATTGTTCTCTCGATAAATAAAGAATTTATAGTGAGATATTCCCGAGAAAAAAAATTCAAATGCTCGATTGACAATATTTTTTTTTACATTTATTTAAATAGATCCATCATCGACAAATATTATTATTCCAAATTCTTGGAGTCATGATATTTTTTCTCATGGAGAAACAAATAGTTTTTTTGAAAATGTCAAATTGGCATCGAGTGGTGAAATTAATTGGAATGATATTGATGTTAAACCTTATTGTGGTAAGACTATACTCATTTATGCAATTATTATGTGAAACACGATCTAAAACAAATGTTGGAATATAAAGATAAAAACAGGGACAGTAGCAGACACTATCCAGTCAGACAAACAATGAAAAAGAAAACGCGTCGAAGTTTTAATGAAAATAAAATCATGAAAATTGTATATTGTTACGCGTTGAATTTTTGAATGAATATTTTTATATTCGTTCTAAAGCTTTAACGTGTAAAAATGGACGTTTTTGAAGATTTCGTTTTCTTTCAAGATGTTTGACGCATTTCTACACGTTCGTTTACTGAATTAAGTCCATGAACTTGGCGATTTTCGTTAGTAATTCACTTAGTCCAAGAGCCATCATACTTGAGTGTTTACGCTGTACGGCACGTATCCAGTAGGTACTGTATTTAAGCCGCAGTACCACTATTCATGGAATGACTCTGGACAAGTCACTAAAGGCTATTTGTCTCGGATCACTTGTTCGATAGCATGCGGACTACGTTGTGACATACATTTTCCCTCGTGGCTAATATGTGATTAGTCAGTGTGTACGGAAAACTTAAGCGACTGAGTGCAAGAATTCTGCATCAGGTTAGCCTTCTGTTCAGAACTACAGCTAATATTAATTGCATGGAAGATATCGGACTAATGAATGTGCCTCTAAGCAGCTATTCATACCGCAAGATAGCCGAAAGACACCAGTATTCTTCCTTTCTTATTCAGTTCAGAAATTAAACGCTCAGTAACGTGTGAAACTGTACGATAAAGACTATTCTAACTATAAGAATTTCATCTGACCATTGGATATTGTGTGAAAATAACATGTATAAAAAGTGTTTGATAAGTTTTGGGTTCATTTTTACTTTTTTTTTGTATTTTTTGAATATTCCAAGCTGAACAAACGTTGAATATATATATGGAAGACCACATCTAAGCAACCATCCAAATTTTATTCATTTAACTTCTATCATTAGTAAAAAGATGCATTGTTGGAAAGCAATTATTAAATATTAAAATAATTTCAGTACGTGTATTTTATTGAGTCGAATATTAAACTAGACTTCAACGTCAGTTTTTATATACTTCAGATAAAAAATATACAATATAGAAGAATAAAAGAAAAGCGATCTGATGAAATTATTCGAAGATAATTTTCAATAAAACACTTTCTTATTAATAATAGCAGTTGAATTCAAGAAGTTTTTGATAATGAGATAGATATTACCCTTCAAATATCTGCTCTCAATCTGTGTCTAAATTGAGATACTGGAAAATTTTCAAGGATTGAAATGAATTAGAAATTGGTAAAATATCGTATATATAATCAAAATTTATTAATAATATCTAACTAATACTATTCACTTCTTCCTTATGTCTGCTGACGTAAACAGAAAAACTAAAACAAAAAAAATGATACAAGGCTAACGAGGGAGCTGTTCAAATCGTTTTTGAATTCAGACTTTATGCATACGCAGAACCCAGTGACGTATGAAAAACTCCAAAAAGATAAGCACTCCTAGGTGCATACCCTCCACAATTATAATCATGTTACTAGAATCTTAGCCTATAGGATGGTATATACAAACTAATCGAATGATGATATTTTGATTTGAAATTTTCAGTTCAAAAGGATGATTTCTTTACAAGATAATGAATTTCCAAAAATCACTCATATTCCATGAAATATGCGAGAATCTCATGCTTTTTGGAAATCCAATATCTCTTGAAGGAAACATTCTAGTTACAAATAAGCCTATTTGTGGGCAAAATTTCAAGTTGAAATACCATCCTTCAATTTGTTTGTATACATCATCCTATAGGTTAAGATTCTAGTGAAAATGACTATAACTCTGAAAGACATGCCTAAGAGCGATTATCCTTTTGGAGTTTTTCATAATTTACTGGGATCTATCTTATGTACCAAGTTCGAACTCGAAACTCATGAGAGCTTGAAATAATTTATCAACAAAGATCAAACAAAATAAAACTCATAAAATCGTGATTTTTTATTTCAATTTTTCTCATAATGAATTTATATTTTTCTTCATTTGTCAAAGTGGAAAATATTATTTCCAATATGTTATACAACACTCCCTTGACTCATCCAAAAATAAATAAATAAAAAGTTACAATGCATATAATTCGTCGAAAATATCATCTAATGCACAATATATGCGGATAGATTTCTTGATAAATAGAAAAGTGATGTAACAGAGGAAAAAAATAGGTAGTTATGCTTCAATCGTTTCTGCTCAGTCAAAACAAGTTTTTTGTTTTTATTTACGAAGTGTTTCAGATGTGTAGTGACTTGTTCATTGTGTTATTGTTAAGTTTGTTTTTCTCTTTTAAACGATATTTCTCCAGATCAGCGTCATCGCAATACTCATGTTTTGGTGTGGTCTGCCAGTTAGAACAATTAGTGTATAGAATGTCGTCGGTTTGAAGAAGAACCTTATAACTTTCGTCATTTATTTATATCGAAACGAAAAATAAAGAACTTTAATGGTTCTAAGAAAACTCGACTGTCAAATACATCAACTACACATTCTACGTTTAAAATAATACTAAGAGATGAATTCGTTTACACATGTTGAGTTGCTTAAAAAAACTGAGAAATAACGAGTGATTGTTGAACATAATAATACTTGTTCAGAAAAATACACGTAAACAATATGTTTGCTTAGTTGATCTTTCTGTGTTAGAACGCGTTTTTTTAAGAGTCTTGTCTAACTGGGTAGCCAGAGACTGTCACAAGCCATGACCGACGTTGTCAATATGCGATCATAGATCATATATTAACAACGTCTCGTTCTAATATATGAACTACTTCATAATTGCATTTCTGAAGAACTAAGTAAAATGGATAGTGAAGAAATTATGTCATAAAATAGATAGAATAAAACAAATGTTCTGTGATTAGCAACAATAGCTATATTGTGTTTCACATTTTAATCTCGCAGAGATTGTGTTAACAGCTTCTTAACGTCATATATGTATATGTATATGTATAGAATTTCTTGATGGTTTTCGAACAAATCCAGCATTTCAACAACAAGATCGAGATAAATTACTCAATCTTGCTTCATCACTTTCATCTTTTTTCGATTATACGAGTAAATCGAATTTAGCACAAAACAAAATTGCAAGTAAGCAATTTTCTTTTTTGATAAATTGTCTTGATTTGAAAAACATAGAAATATGATTTATAAAACTGAAAGCAATCAAAATTTGATTAAGATTTTCTTTTGTTTTTAGATAATTTCAAGGTTGTTATTATTTTCATATTTATCTTAAAGAGAAAAAAATAAGGATAAGTCATCATTCACATAAATTATAACTTTATGAAGGTTTATATTAAATACTTTATGTGCTATGACAGGATTAGTACGATAATTGTCATAAATCCTAGAAAATCTTTTTCGTTATTCTCTCGTTATTAGGCTTTCCAGTAGATGATGAAATCAATTTGTTCTTTAATGTTCGACATAAATTTTAGGAGTGATATGTATAACCATCTAGATTGAATATTGATCTATGAAGATGAAAAACGATTAATTCTTTTCATATAGTTCGCTTTAATCAATGGTTTACTAATTGTTGATTTAATAAAAAATGTATATGTAAAAAATGAGAATATTCTTTTACTATGAATAGATTTCTTTTTAATAAATATCATTCTCTTATTTTCGTAAGAAATATTAACTTTTAGAAAAAATTATTTAAACATGAAATCAGATTTTTGTACATATCGAAAATTAAAATACAGATATCTTTGTATCATACGAGATTAATTGATGATAAGATTAAAAAAATGTCAAGTTCAATCATTAACACTGCATTACATAAATATTAAAATATTTATTTGATTTTTTTCATATATAGATGAATCCATCATCGCAAATCGATTACCAATTGTATCGAATGGAGCAATATTAGAAACAACTAACCATGTAATTTATATTCTTTATAGGTTTTTTTTTAAATAATTTCTTATTTTTGACATATTTTTCAGTTAACTACTCTTCCAGTTGTAATTGAAGACGAAACTTTTGATTGGGATTTAATTACATAATGTATGTAATTCATTATATATTTATATATATATATAAATACATGGACGTATTATATCTTTTGTTTGTTTTTCCTAATTTTCTTTACCGTCCAAATAATGGAGAAATGCTCAACAGTATAATAATTGTCATTTGTTAGCTATATATATGTATATACATATATAAATATTGTTTGACTAATGCAATAGGTTTTTTCCTCGTATTGTACAAACAAAAAAAAACAGTATATTTCTTTTTATGTGTATTTTATTTGATTTATTTCATCCATAATATACATCGGTAATTGTATGAATTTCTTTGTACAGTAATTAAGTAGTATGTGTATGTGGTGCTTGTGATAATCACTTGTTGTATTATAAAACAAAAAAGGAAATTAATAGGGTTGTTTTTTTTTTTTTCTTTAAAATACTCTACATTTATAGATTGTTTTCATCAAAATAAATAAACATTTCATTCATTTTTTCTTTTTCTTCAAATGGAATATCGATTCTTTTATTCAATTAATGAAGATATAATGAATACGAAATGGAAAACAAGATTTGATGGTGAGCATCGAACAGATATTTATTTTATTATACCTGCAATAATAAATAATTCTGATGATTTTCATCTTGAATATGGTCTTAAATTACGAAATAAAAAAACACTTGAACTTAAAATACGTAAAACACGTTTTTCTAATGGACAAGAAAATTGGTTAAAAACAATTCATTCAAATAAAAAACTTCATATTGATGATATGATTTCAATTCTAAATATTTTAAAATTATCCAATGAAAATCAACTTATTGAACGATTAACATCATCTCAACCGATTATTTTATGTTATGCAACTAAATTTCGTGAACAAACAAGAATAGGAGATAATCATAAACAAGAGTTAACTGGTTTACATTTAAAATTTATTCGATCTAATGATCAATCTCAAATAGGTAGTGATTTATTTTTTGAAACAGTTTGTATTGAACGACCAGATTCAAAATTGATAGATGAAAAAATTATTGAAAAATTGTCTCAACAATATAGAACTATTTCAATTAATTCAATGGGTTATCCAGAATTTTTATATCGACAATATCAACAAACAATTAATAAATAAAAGAAAAAAAAACACAACAAATAATATTTTTTTTAAAATTTAATATAATTTAATTTTCAATATATTTTATTCAATAAAATTAAGCAAGAGGTCATTAAATTGTTATTCAAAGAAAATATTTCATAAATAATTTCTTTTTACTATTTCAATATATCCGAAAGTAGAATAAAAAATGTCATAAACTATTTTTCAATTGATATTCATTTTTATAATTGACAAAGATTAACAAAAATGAAATGTGAACTTTATAAACCAAAGATTATCATAAGATTCCTCAACGATATTTAAACAAATATAATTGGATACGAATAAACAAATTTGTTTTAAAATGTTCAAGTCAACGGGAAGATTCCTCCTCAAAAAATCGATCTTGGATCAGATGCATTCAAATCGCATGAAACTTTCAGGATATATTCGAAGCTATAGTAGAAACCCTAGTCGAAATTTTTTTTTTTAAATTCTTGACATGCGTAGACCACAAGATTTGTTCATAGTACATGATTTTCTTTCCATAGACAAGCACTTGAGTGCTTGCATGAGTTATGTGCACATTTTAAGCAACTCAGCCGTTGAATATATGAAAATTATAGCAATCAGTATCTTTGGAACGATCAATTAGAAAAATTAATAAAAGCAAATTTGTTCAAGACGGAAATATGCTCTTTGCCATGCACGCTGTTTGAGACTAATTATTCGTGTAGATTTCCTTTTTGACCTGCATATTAAAATGTTTGTTATTCAAACTGTGAATTTTCTTATTACCAATAGGATCATTTTTGAACGTAAAGTTGAAGAAGAAAAAAAAAGGAAAAGATGTGGGTGTGGCTGTGAATGTACAGGTGTTCTTATTGATGTTGCTGTGAGTGGGAATGAAAGTGTCTCATCAATAATACATCCACACCCACATTCTGTCTTGACGAATGCTTTGTGACATTTATCTAAATAAAAAATCTATTCCATTATCTATCTTTTCATTCTTGTTTGTTATACATGTTGTACGTCAAATATTTAATGGCTAATGGTATCTACACTTAAGAAATGGCTAAAACTTTAGAAAAAGAAAAGATCTTCAGTATCCAAATATATTACGTCGTGCTTGAGCAAGAATTCAAGCATATGAGTAAGAATGTTAAGCAATAAAAAAAGAAATTTCAGCGCTAGAGTTCGCAATAAGATCTCAAGATGTATGTCCATAGCACGTGATTTTTTTGCTCTAGATATTCATGTATTTCATGGGCGTACCACAAAATGTTTTACTAGGGGATGATCACAAACAGAATATTATATTGATATCTAAGTGGTACGTGCTTTTCAGTTTTATTTTCAAAATGATTTAACTCATAATAAATATTCACAGATTAAATAACAAAGCTTATAACAAGCAGTCTAAAAAAGAAATTCAGATGTACTCAATGACAAGAAACATTCTTTCATTTTGAGTAGAAAAGCTTTTATTATTTTATTCCGGTTGATCATTTTAAGTGTGCTCATTTGTATGATTTTTATAATTTTACTATATAAACTGCTTTAAAAATGAATATAACTCATGTGACCATTCAAGTGCATGTTTAGGAAAAGCAAACAAACAAAGGTTAAAAATAGTTTATTTGACAACCTAAAATTCTCTATGGAACTCTATTCTATAGATTTTTTTTGAAAGAGCATCTCAGATTGAAGTGCCCTTTTATTTTAAATTCATACTTTTTATATGGAGCAAAAAAAATCTCAAAAAAAAATGGTCATATAGTCATAAAAGTGCTTTTTATATATAATAATAAAAAAGCTTAATTCAATAAAACGGACTCTATCAGGCAACTGCACCTTCCCATGCCCTTTCAAACACAAAGAAAAGAAGCAATTTTCTACAATGAAACTTCTTTGAAGATTCTGAGATGTACGATCAGAAAAGTTTAAATGGAGAAAAAGGAAAAAAAGACTTACTACTTATTGTAAAAAAAAAACCTTTTTTTCCAAGCAGAATGTAATGAAAATCATTAAGAATTTTGGTAAAAAATGGGATGCAAAATAATAAATCATATCGTTTATGAAAGATTAGAACAAAGACGATCTTTCTATGCATTTATCTTAATTTCGATTTTTGTGATAGAAAATGACTTTTTTTGCTTTTTTAAAGGGAAGGTTGAAAAGAAATTGTTTGTAGAAATTTGTAAAAATGAACGAAAATTATTCATTTTTATTGGAATGTATCATAGTGTTTGTACATTTAGAACAGTATATTCTTGTAAATGTGGCTTCTGCTGATAATTAGCAAACATGTATGCATCCATCAATTATATGAAAGTCCCTGAGAACATGTGTTCTGACAAAGTACAGATGTCGAAATATTTCTATATTATATATTTTGCAGTACTTTTTTTGGCTTATTTTAATCGATTCAATGTAACAGACAGATAATATAATCTTTGAATCAACAAACATTAGATAAAGACATTTGATTGAAAAATATGTTTCTATTCATGAATAATCCATGAATAATTTCAGATGAATTAGAAATATTTTTTGAAATATTGACTCGTTAAAAATTAATTTTCTTTATCAAAAACGATATATATAGACATTGTCTTCTATTAACTTTCACTAAAATTTGCATTAACTAGATATAAATATCGTCCTATGTTGAAAAAATGTTTTCAATTGACTCTATTGGTTTTTCTATTACAACTATTGTTAAATATAAGTAGTTAGCATACATACTTTTTTTTGCATAATAAATTCATTTGATTCAATTATTTTCACTGAATAAAAAGTCGAAACTCACATTCTTAACACACACGAGATCGTGCATGATATTTGCTTGTTACTTGATATTTTTAGATACCGTTTGACATCAAAAAAAAAAAAGAAAACATGATGAAACACGTTCACTCTTGCTTGTTTTTTATTATGAGAAAAAAACTTTAGTTTCAATTAATTAACAATGAAATACTTTTGATGTATTTAGTGCAAAAAAATTTTTTCTTCCGACATATCTAAGATAAATTTATTAATTGAAATTCATATTTCATTAGAAAATGAATCATGATTTTGAAAACGATTAGAAAATTTATAGAAAATATTTTTAATTTGTATGAATAACATCAAAATTTCAATTTTCTATTAATTATTCATCTATACAATTGTGAATCAATTTTATGATGATGAAATAAACACAAACAAAAAAAACGAGAGATCACTACTTACTTATATATATATATATAAGATTTTAATATACAACAATTTCCTTTTCTTTTGTTATATAGATATGTTATATGTGTGATTTTTATTGAGATATTGGAGAAAATGACAATTGCATTTCCGTGCGACATAAATATATATTTAAATTATAGTGAAAAATGTTTAGAATTAAATACGAGACGTAGGTAGACAAAAAAAAAGAAATACTTGTGAGCAATGGTCGTTTATGCTGAAAATAACACATTGCCGAGCATCTCAGTATAGGTTCTCCACCAACATTCTTTACCATAATCAGTCTTTGCATTTTGTCCATATAATTTACCAACCTGATAAATAGTTATAGATAAATTAAATATCTATGAAAAAATGAAATTAGGTTTTTTTATTCTTCCTACCTGCTGAACTGACATGTGAAAACAGCTATCAGCACAATCACACATAGGACCACAATTATTAGCTGTTTTCTGCTTGCTCTAAAGAAAGATAATTTTGATAACAAAATATGATTTAGATTATAAACTTACGCTTTCAATCGGATAATCTTCAACACAATATTGACATGCTGCAAGACAAGCGATTTCTTCAGGACTAGGAGGTGGACTGGGTGATAATGATTCTACAGTCGTTTCACCACCATTCCATTGTGTACCTTGTTGTTTTTGTCCATCTATAGTATAAACAGTATCTGTTTCACTATCAACTAATTTT